TGCTCCCCTGTGTCCCCCATGTCTTTTTCCATCCCTTTTTGTTTTTTTTTTTAACTCCACCCCTGTGTCCCCCATGTTTCCAACTTTTTTTTTTTTTTTTTTATTGTCTCCCATGTTTTCCAACTTTTTTTTTGTGTTATTTTTGTCTCCAACTCCACCCCTGTGTTTTTTTTGTTCTTTTTTTTTTTTTCCACCCCTGTGTCCCCCAAGTTTCCAACTCCACCCATGTTTTTTTTTTTGTCTTTTTTTTCCACCCCTCTGTCCCCCATGTCTCCAACTTTTTTTTTTGTTCCCCCATGTTTCCAACTTTGTGTCCCCCATGTCTCCAACCCCACCCCTCTGTCCCCCATGTCTCCAACTCCACCCCTGTGTCCCCCATGTCTCCAACTCCACCCCTGTGTCCCCCCATGTCTCCAACTCCACCCCTGTGTCCTCCATGTCTCCAACTCCACCCCTGTGTCCCCCATGTCTCCAACTCCACCCCTGTGTCCCCCATGTCTCCAACTCCACCCCTGTGTCCCCCAAGTCTCCAACTCCACCCCTGTGTCCCCCATGTCTCCAACTCCACCCCTCTGTCCCCCATGTCTCCAACTCCACCCCTGTGTCCCCCATGTCTCCAACTCCACCCCTGTGTCCCCCATGTCTCCAACCCCACCCCTCTGTCCCCCATGTCTCCAACTCCACCCCTGTGTCCCCCATGTCTCCAACTCCACCCCTGTGTCCCCCATGTCTCCAACTCCACCCCTGTGTCCTCCATGTCTCCAACTCCACCCCTGTGTCCCCCATGTCTCCAACTCCACCCCTGTGTCCCCCATGTCTCCAACTCCACCCCTGTGTCTACCTTCTGTTTGTAATTACAAATCTGTGTACTTCATGTCTTCAAGTGTGCCCGCAAGTGCCCCTTGTTGCCAGTTGCATCCCTGTGTGCTCCATGTCTCCAAGTACACCTTTTAACGTCCCTCATGTCTCCAAGTACACCTTGAATGTCCCTCATGTCTCCAAGTACACCTCGAATGTGCCCCATTTCCAACTCCACCCTGTTCCCCCATGTCTCCAACTCCACCCCTCTGTCCCCCATGTCTCCAACTCCACCCCTCTGTCCCCCATGTCTCCAACTCCACCCCTCTGTCCCCCATGTCTCTAACTCCACCCCTGTGTCCTCCATGTCTCCAAGTGTGCTCCACTCTGTGCCCCATGCTTCCAACTCCATTTTTGTGTCCCCCATGTCTCCAACTCCACCGCTGTGTCTACCTTCTGTTTGTGATTACAAATCTGTAATTCAAGTGTGCCCGCAAGTGCCCCTTGTTGCCAGTTGCATCCCTGTGTGCCCCATGTCTCCAAGTACACCTTGAACGTCCCTCATGTCTCCAAGTACACCTTGAACGTCCCTCATGTCTCCAAGTACACCTTGAACGTCCCCCGTGTCTCCAAGTACACCTTGAAAGTCCCTCGTGTCTCCAAGTACACCTTGAACGTCCCTCGTGTCTCCAAGTACACCTTGAACGTCCCACGTGTCTCCAAGTACACCTTGAACGTCCCCCGTGTCTCCAAGTACACCTTGAACGTCCCCCGTGTCTCCAAGTACACCTTGAACGTCCCCCGTGTCTTACTCCTTTTTTGTCTTTTTTTTTGAACGTCCCCCGTGTCTCCAAGTACACCTTGAACGTCCCTCGTGTCTCCAAGTACACCTTGAACGTCCCCCGTGTCTCCAAGTACACCTTGAACGTCCCCCATGTCTCCAAGTAAGTACCCATTTCCAATTTTTCCCTCATGTCTCCAAGTACACCTTGAACGTCCCCCGTGTCTCCAAGTACACCTTGAACGTCCCCCATTGTCTCCAAGTACACCTTGAACGTCCCCCATTCTCCAAGTACACCTTGAACGTCCCATGTCTCCAAGTACACCTTGAACGTCCCCCGTTTGACTCCAATGTCTCCAAGTTTTTTTTGAACGTCCCTCATGTCTCCAAGTACACTTGAACGTTTTTTGTTAAGTACACCTTGAACGTCCCCGTTCCCCCACCTTGAACGTCCCCCATGTCTCCAAGTACACCTTGAACGTTTTTTGTCTCCAAGTACACCTTTTTTTTTTTTTCCCCCATTGTCTCCATTTACACCCCTCTGTGCTTCGTGTATCCAAATACGCCCCCGTGTGGCCTGCAACTCCAGCTGCACCCTGAGCACCTCCATGTCAATTTTTTTTTTTGAGGGGTGTCTTGTGGGTGATCACAGACCTGGAAGATTTTGGTTCACCTCAGAATTGGTGCAGCTGTGCATGGTAGCCAATTTTTTTATAACGTCAGCTTTGTTCAAAGAAACCTGGAAGCTGATTGGCTCCCATTTTTTTGAGACAAGGTCATCCGGTGCCCAGGGCAAAGAGGCCAAACTGCACCAAGAGGGGCCAGCGGTGGAATAATCTGCAGAATATATCAATATGGATCTGTTTTTTTTTTTTGGGGAGCGATTTTGCAGATCTCTAGAGAGGTCAGTGGTGGAATAATCTGCAGAATTCAAATATGGATTGGTGTCATGAGGGGGAGGGGGAGCGATGTTCTTTTTTTTTCTCTAGTGAGGTTTGATGGGATTTCTTTTTTTATATCAATATGGATCTGTCAAAGGGATGGGAGGACCGATGTTTGCAGATCTCTAGAGGGGCCAGTGGTGGAATAATCTGCAGAATATATCAATATGGATCTGTCAGGAGGGGGAGGGGATGGACCGATGTTCTGCAGATCTCTAGAGAGGTCAGTGATGGAATAATCTGCAGAATATATCAATATGGATGACAGGAGGGGGATGGGACGGAGCGATGTTCTGCAGATCTCTAGAGAGGTCAGTGATGGGATAGTCTGCAGAATATATCAATATGGATCTGTCAGGAGGGGGAGGGGACGGTCTCTGTGGTGACACCCCCCAGAGAGGCCTGGGATCCCCCCCCCCCCCCCCGCACACATGTCACCTGTCTCTATGTTGTGGGATGTTATCAGTGCAGAATATCGATCGCAGATATAAAAGGCGCAAACAGTTACATTTCACACCTGCTGCGGGGGATGGGGGGAATTACAGCAACCAAAAATAAAATCTATATAGTACTCGACTCCATAAAGGGGGGCTGCGGGTCCATAAAGGGGGGCTCTGGGTCCATAAAGGGGGGATCCAGGTCCATAAAGGGGGGCTCCAGGTCCATAAAGGGGGGATCCGGGTCCATAAAGGGGGGATCCGGCTCCATAAAGGGGGCTCTGGGTCCATAAAGGGGGGTTCTTGGTCCATAAAGGGGGGCTCCGGGTCTATAAAGGGGGGGCTTCAGGTTCATAAAGGGGGGCTCCGGGTCCATAATATTTACTTTTTTATTGTATTATATATATTTTTTTTTTTTCTTCTTTTATTTTTTATTATTTATGATTATTTTTTTTTTAATTTTTTTTTTATATTATTTACATTTTTTTTTGTCTGCTTTACGTAACCCATAAATGTTCAGTCTGGTTTTCCATGGGCAGGCAGATTTTTTTTTATTTTTTTTTTTTTTTTTTTTTATATTGTGTTTATATCAGCCATGCAATGTGATTGCCATTTACTGTTTTTTTTATACTTTTAAAACGTTTACTTTTTATTCTATTATTTTTTTTCCTTTTATTTTTATTCTATTGTTTTATATATATTTTTTACCTTTTCTTCTTCTTCTTCTTATTATTTTTATTCTATTATACGTATAACTTTTATTTTTTTTATATTTTTTTTTTTTATATTATTTACTTTTTTTTTTTTTTTTTTTTTGCATTTTTTTGTTCTTTTTTTTATTTTTTTTTTATATTATTTTTTTTTTTTTTTTTACATTTTTACATTTTTTTTTTTTTATATTTTTTTTTTTTTTTATATTATTTACATTTTTTTTTTATATTACTTACATTTTTTTTGTTATATTATTTACTTTTTTTTTTATATTTTTTTTTTTTTTTTTTTATTTTTTTTTTTTTTTTTTTTTTTTTTTTTATATTTTTACATTTTTTTTTTATATTATTTACATTTTTTTTTGTTATATTTTTTACATTTTTTTAACATTATTTTACATTTTTTTTTTATACTATTTGCATTTTTTTTTTTTTATTTTTTAAATTTTTTTTTTTATTTTTTTTTTTTTTGTTTTTTTTTTTTTTTTTTTTTTTTTTTTAATTTTTTTTTTTTTTTTTTTTTTTTTTTTTATTTTTTTTTTTTTTTTTTTTTTTTTTTTTTTTTTTATTTTTTTTTTTTTTTTTTTTTTTTTTATTTTTAATTTTTAATATTTTTTTTTTTTTTCTGCTTTACGTAACCCCTAAATGTTCAGTCTGGTTTTCCATGGGCAGGCAGATTTGCATATTTTTTTGCATATTATGTATTGTTTTGTCAGCCATGTGATGTGATTGCCATTTACTGTTTTTTTTTTTTAATATCTCAGTCTGGGGCCCCGGGGCCCCCGCTGTAGGTGAACTACCTGGCAGTGCAGGTCGGGGAAGCTTGACCTTTTGCGTTCCCGTTAGGATCCGGCAGATTTATAAAAGGGAGATTTCCCGTCATCTCGGGGCTCTCAGAGCCCTTGAGTAATATCTGTCGGCAGGTCGGCCTCGGCTGACTCACATTTGCACCTTTTTTTCTCGTCGCTTTGATGCCGCGACGCCCACGGAAAAAAAACCTAGACTTAGCCAACCGGGGGTGGCGGGCTTGTGAAATATCCTGTCCGGGCGACGCTGGTACGTACGCCGCTTGGAAAGAGTTGTCAGCGGGGCGCCGGCATCCACGACAACTCGCCCCAGATTCTCCTTCCCCTGAAAACCTCAAACTTGTCTACTGCTGCAGATGTGAGAGACACGCCGACTTCTGCGCACTGTGCGCTGACCCCGCCCTGTCATGTGACGTGGCCTACCACTTGGTGGCTGAGTGGCTGTTGTTCCCAGCTGCTTCCACTTTGTTATAATCCCACTAACAGCCAGGAAAGGTCACTGATGGAGGGGATTGGAACACCTGAATCACATGATATGGAGGGGATTGGAACACCTGAATCACGTGATATGGAGGGGATTAGAACACCTGAATCACGTGATATGGAGGGGATTGGAACACCTGAATCACGTGATATGGAGGGGATTGGAACACCTGAATCACGTGATATGGAGGGGATTGGAACACCTGAATCACGTGATATGGAGGGGATTGGAACACCTGAATCACGTGATATGGAGGGGATTGGAACACCTGAATCCGTGATATGGAGGGGATTGGAACACCTGAATCACATGATATGGAGGGGATTGGAACACCTGAATCGCATGATATGGAGGGGATTGGAACACCTGAATCACATGAAATGGAGGAGATTGGAACGCCTGAATCACATGATATGGAGGGGATTGGAACGCCTGAATCACATGATATGGAGGGGATTGGAACGCCTGAATCACATGATATGGAGGGGATTGGAACGCCTGAATCACATGATATGGAGGGGATTGGAACGCCTGAATCACATGATATGGAGGGGATTGGAGCGCCTGAATCACATGATTGGGAGGGGATTGGAGCACCTGAATCACATTGATATGGAGGGGATTGGAACACCTGAATCACATGATATGGAGGGGATTGGAACGCCTGAATCACATGATATGGAGGGCATTGGAGCACCTGAATCACATGATATGGAGGGGATAGGAACATCTGAATCACATGATATGGAGGGGATTGGAACACCTGAATCACATGATATGGAGGGGATAGGAACACCTGAATCACATGATTGGGAGGGGATTGGATCACCTGAATCACATGATATGGAGGGGATTGGAGCACCTGAATCACATGATTGGGAGGAGATTGGAACACCTGAATCACATGTTATGGAGGGGGGATTGGAACACCTGAATCACATGATATGGAGGGGATTGGATCACCTGAATCACATGATATGGAGGGGATTGGATCACCTGAATCGCATGATATGGAGGGGATTTTTTATGAACCACATGATTGGGAGGGGATTGGAACACCTGAATCACATGATTTTTGGAACACCTGAATCACATGATTGGGAGGGGATTTTGAATGCCTGAATCACATGATATGGAGGGGGGTCAGAATACCTGAATCACATGATATGGAGGGGATTGGAACACCTGAATCACATGATATGGAGGGGATTGGAGCACCTGAATCACATGATATGGAGGGGATCAGAATACCTGAATCATCATATGATTGGATGAATTGATTGGGGGATTGGAACACCTGAATCACATGATTGGGAGGGGATTTGATTGGGAAGCACCTTTTTTTCACATGATTGGAGAGGATTGGAGCACCTGAATCACATGATTGGGAGGGGCGGGGCCAATACGTTGGGCGATATATAGTGTGTGTCAGTCAGAGATTTCCTCTCACTTCCTGTCTTGGTGACACAGCAGGAAGTCCGTAGAGCCCCTCATCAGGTAGAGCTCCTCCCCCTCCGTGTCTGCAGACCCTTCTGGCCGCTCCCACTAACATTGCACTTTCTTTGAAGAGCGATCGGAGACAGATATAGCGCACTTCCTGTCCTCGGGTGACAACATTCACCCACACAGCTGTCACTATAGGCTGGACTACAGATCACCTCCCCCTTCTCCTCTCCTCCAGAACCTTGGGGGAGGTGTACTGCCGTATGTATGGAGGAAGAGGATTGTCACCCTAGGACAAGACTACAGAATACTCTTCTCCAGCACATACATGGAGGTGTTCTATAGTGCTTTTCCATAGATACAGTACAGTGAATGTTGTCGCCCAAAGACAGGACTGCAGGTCACCTCCTCTCCTCTTCTCCAGACCCTTGGGGAGGTGTTTTTTTTATAGTACTGCCATAGGGTCACAATGTTTGCTCTTTGTGCTGTATGGAGGAACAGCATTGTCACCACCTGGAAAAGACTATTGAATACAGGGGGAGGTGTTCTATAGTCCTATTCCAGGGTGACTCACTCAGCGTAATGTATCTATGGAGAATCAGTGATGTCACCCCAGGGCAGGGCTACAGAACGATCCCCCTCTCCTCCAGTACATACTGTAGATGGAGGTGTTCTATAGTCCTCCTCCATAGGTACAGCACAGTGAGTGAGTGTTGTCCCGCCAAGCCAGGAAACAGAACGCTTTTAACGCTCACCCTCTCCTCCAGTACATACTGTAGATGGAGGTGTTCTGTAGTCCTCCATAGGTACAGCACAGTGAGTGTTGTCTCGCCAGGCCAGGGCTACAGAACGCCCCCCTCTCCTCCAGTACATACTGTAGATGGAGGTGTTCTATAGTCCTCCTCCATAGGTACTCCTCCACATGGACAGCTAAGAACAATGTAGCAGATAACAAGGTCACCAGCTCACCGGATTTCTGGCCGGATCAACAGGACAAGCCGGCTGTCTCCACCCATCCGCTGATCCCGAGGGAGAAACTAAATATATATATTTTTTTATTTAGAAATAAATTAAATATGTTAAAATAAATCTATAAAATTATATAAATAAATATGTAAATATATATCTGTCTATAAAATGCAAATCACAGAAAAAAAGTGTATAAAAAAATAGATAACAATAATATAATTTTTTTTATATATAAAATAAAGTATGCCAATAAAAAAATAGGCGAATATTAAAAAAATATAAATAAATATAAAATATTTTTATAATTTTTATATAAAATAATAAATTAAATTTTAACCATATTTAAATATAAAAAATACAAATATATAAATATCAAGTAAATATAAATAAATATGTACATATAAAAATCAAATAAAAATTTTTTTTACAACATTATAAAATTTAATATATAAATAAAATATATATATAAAAAAAAAAATATTTAAAACATTTATTAAAATAGATATTTTTATTTCTAAAATAAATATATATATATAAATAAAATATAAATACAGTATAAATAAATTACATGTTTAAATATTAAAATGTAAATTTTTTATTAATATATTAAAATATAAAATAAATTAAAAAAAAATTTTTAAAATAATTTTTTTTTTTAAATTAAAATACAAATTTTTTTTAAAAATTTTTTATATATATATATATATATATATATATATATATATATATTTATATAAAATAATTAAAAATACATATTTTTGTTTAAAATAAAATTATAAAATTTTTAATTATTATATTTTTTTTTTTTATTTTTATTATTTTATTCAGAATTTTTTTTTTATAGCGCCAAAGGGTTTGTTTATTTTTTGTAATATAAAAAATATATATAAATATAAAAATGTACATCTAAAATTTAATATATATATATATATATAAAAAAATATAAAATGTTTTTAAATTAAAATAAATATTATATATAATATAAATAAAATAAATTTAAAATACAAAAATTTAAAATTTATAAAATTTAAATTTACAAATTTATATAAAATTAAATATAAAAATGTAATAAAAAAATTAAAAATTTAAAATACAAATTAAAATATATTTATATCTAAATTGAATATAAAAATGTAAAAATATTTAAAATCTAAATGAATATAAAAATGTAAATTTAAAATACAAATTAATATATAAAAAAAAAAATGAATATAATTTTGTAAAATTAAAATAATAAAAAATGTAAATTTATAAATAAATATAAAATCTAAATAAATAAAATATAAAAAAATTAAAATATAAAATCTAAATTAAAATTAAAAAAAATTAATATATAAAAAATGAATAAAAAATTAAATAAAAAAATACAAATTTAAAAAATACAAATATAATATAAAAAAAAAAAATATAAAAAAATTTTTAAATTTAAAAAATTAAAAATTAAAATATAAAAAATTAATATATAAAATCTAATAATAAAATAAAATTTATTTAAAATACAAATTAAAAATATAAAATACTAAATGAATAAAAAAAATGTAAATTTAAAATAAATTTAATTAATTATATTAAAAATTAAAAAAATTAATTATAAAAAAAATGTAAAAAAAATACTAAATGAAATATATAAAAAATTTAAAATAAAATAAAATCAAATTAATATTTAAAAATCTAAATGAATATAAAAATGTAAATTTAAAATACAAATTAATATATAAAATCTAAATGAATATAAAAATTTAAAAAAAATACAAATTAATATATAAAAAATCTAAATGAATATAAAAATGTAAATTTAAAATACAAATTAATATATAAAATCTAAATGAATATAAAAATGTAAATTTAAAATACAAATTAATATATAAAATCTAAATGAATATAAAAATGTAAATTTAAACAAATAATATAAATTAATATAAAAATATTAAAATCTAAATTATAATATAAAATTGAATATAAAAATTAAATTTAAAATACAAATTAATATATAAATGAATATAAAAAAATTTAAAATACAAATTAAAATGAATAAAAATAAAAAAATTTAAATTTAAAAATACAAATTAATATATAAAAATATAAATGTAAATTTAAAATAAAAAAATATATAAAATAATAAAAAATTATATAAATAATAAAAATTGTTTAAAATACAAATTAATATAAAAAAATGTAAAAAATGTAAAAAATACAAATTAATATATAAAATCTAAATGAATATAAAAATGTAAATTTAAAATACAAATTAAAATGAATAAAAAATATAAAATACAAATTAATATATAAAATCTAAATGAATATAAAAATGTAAATTTAAAATACAAATTAATATATAAAATCTAAATGAATATAAAAAAATTTAAAATTTTAAAATAAAATCTAAATTATAAAAATGTAAATTTAAAATACAAATTAAATATAAAATCTAAATGAATATAAAAATGTAAATTTAAAATTTAAAAAAACAAATTAATATATAAAATCTAAATAAAAATGTATAAATATATAAAAATAAAATATTATAAAAAATGTAAAAAAAACAAAATTAATATATAAAATCTAAATGGAAATTTTGAAATATATATATATTAATATAAAAATGTAAATTTAAAAAAAATTAAATATAAAATCGAAAATATATAAAAAAAATAAATAAATATATATATATGTAAAAAATAAAATAAAAAAAAAAAAAAATAAATAAAAAAAAAATAAAATAAAGCAAAACAATTCTGGAAGGCCAATCAGTCCGATTCGATTTCCTGTCATGCGTGGTCCCGGGCGCCCCCGTGTCGGTAACGTCTCAAAATAAAATCAGAAGAATGAGTTAAAAAAAAAAAAAAGAGTTTATGCAAATCATGGCCGGGTCACATGACCCCCTATGCAAAATTTATTAGAGTTGTGGAAAATAGACCCCCCTCGCCCCCTCACGATTTCGGGTGAAGGTTGTGTAATCCCCCCCAGACCTCCCCTCTCCTTCCCATCATCCACCTCTCCCAGCGCAGGGGCTGCACATGCCGACCACGACGTCGAGGCCGGCGGTGACGGTGAGTAAGCCGGGGCCCGGATGTCTGAGGTTTCTCGGCAGGTGGGACGCGCGGCGGTTGGTTGGCACACGACTTTGCTCAGCTTCTCGTCACACTTTGTTGTGTCGGCGGGTTTGACACTTTCAGTCTTAACACTTTCCGCCCCGGGAGGTAAAAAAAAAAAGGTGCTTTCCGCACAGAGTGCACACTCAGCAGAGCCGGCCGGAGGCCCTGGGAACACGGCGGCGGGGGCGGCGGTGGAAACCGATCAGCCAAAATTAGAACTTCTCTTTGGAAAAAAAAAATTTTAAAAAACAATAAAAAAAAAAAAAAAAAGGATACAACATTAATGACATTTAAAGAATTAATCGACTATTTATGCGAATAAAAAACATAAAAGAAATAACAAAAAAGTCATAAAAGAAAAGTGCGAAACGGATATTTATAGATTGCGACAAACGCAAAGAAATGCAAAAAAAAAAGACTTCGCAGGACGCAACGAAGATTCTACGCTGAAACAAAGTATCCAATTTGCAGTTTGTTAGAAATTGATTTTTTTTTTTTTACGGCGCCACAAATTTCTACGTTACGGACAGCAGAGACCTCGGAGAATAAAATGGCGGGAGTTGTAATTCCTTATGTTTTGTTTTTTTTTTTTGGCAGCACAAATCGAAGTCATCCCTTGTAAGATCTGCGGGGACAAATCCTCCGGAATCCATTACGGCGTGATCACCTGCGAAGGATGTAAGGTGAGGGGGCGAGAGGGAGGCCACGCCTTAAAGTAGAAATAAAATTACATTTTTCTTTATTTTTTTTTCTCATTTTATAGTCCTTGTCAGTTTTTTTTTTTGCACTCTGTGTCCCCGTTGGGGAGATTTTCCTTCACTTCCTGTCCCATAGCCAAAGCAGGAAGTGAGAGGATAGCAATCAGTTCCTGCTTTTACTCTCTCTCCTAATAAACCCA